TCAGGAGCGAGAGGGCGAGGAAGAAGGGAAGTGGCTGGGCGAGCGAGTAGCTTGCTCAACGGCGAGAGGGCGAGGAAGAGGGGAAGTGGCTGGGCGGGTAGCTCAGCGGCGCGGGGCAGCCTGGCGGCGGGCTCTGGCCACTCAGGCATGGCTGGCTCTGTTTCCCTCCCTCCATCCGGACAGACTGCCTGCCTGCCCAACTGCCTTTCTCCCCGGCCAGCGCAGCCCCGCGTCACTTACTCAGCGGCGGCGGCAGCAGCTCCTTCCTGGGCCAAATGAAGTGCACCCAGCGTACAAGACGACCCCCCCACTTGGAGCCATGTTTTTGGGGCCAAAAAAGTCATCTTGTACGCCAGCAAATACAGTACTGTATTAAAGTACTATGCTTAGTTCCTAATGAACCATAAATGAGAGAGAATGAATGTGCTGGAGTGCTACATCAAAGCAGTTCTGTCTTCCTTAATGTTTGTATTGCTATGTTCACTGACAGCTGTGCTTTATCTCTGCTGTGTGTAGTCCTTCCCACCAGTCACAGTTCAGTTTTGTCTTCCTTTTGAACCGTGTACCAAATTTTGTCAGTGAAACACCATTTTCAACAGTCATATATAAAACAAGGCTTTCTCTCTATGTGGTATCTCTACAGTCTGACTGTTGTTTCATATTCCTCTTCCTGTCATGATCTCATCTGGTTTCAGTGCTGCTTCTCTGTGTGCCCCACTTGTGGATGTTTGAACTCATTTTTGGCATTGACTGCTCCACAGCTTTCTGTCACAGACCATGCTCCTTTTGTGTTGTGGCTTCTCTCCTAAGGCTGTGCCCTTACATGTAGTATGCACATTTCAAGCCATATTACAGCTGTCTCGTGTATTTCTTTTAGGGTTTATTAGTTCCAGACCCGGCTCATATGTTTGCCCTTCCTGTAGTATTTCTTCATCTGGCCAGATGACAGCTGTGGCATCTGCCAGTCCCCACACAAGCCATTGTCATCAGAACAAACTGTCAGTTTAGCTATTGCTTAGAGAAAGCTACTGTAAATATATTACAGCAATTCACAGCACTTTATCCCATGTTTATGTTGAATGTCACATCATTAGGTTGCAAAGAGCACAGAGTACTAAAATTAGTAAAACTGGAATAATATTAGAACAATAGCGTGGTTAAGCAATAAATCAATAGCAAGACAAAAATAACAAAATTACAGTCATTAAGCAGTTAACGAAGCAGATTTCTCTCAAATCTAGCAATATATGCATTTGAAAACTAAAATTAGGATTGTTTTTTTTAAAAAAGAAAATGTATATTTGCTTTGAGATACCTATTTAAAATTAACCAAGAAAGTATTGGTGGAGAGTTTATGATCAACAGTTTTAAACTTCATTTTGTTAATGTTTCTTAGACTTTCTTAAAAGAAGGAGAATCTACTTCAGCACGATGTGATGATTTGGAAGTTTTGAAAAATAAGGGTTGCCCTTCTGATGAAATAGAAAACCCCAGAGGATCCCAAAAGAAACTAAAAGACAAGGAAGTAACAAATCGTGTCAAAGGATCCACTGAGAGTCTTAGACCAGAAGACATTACCCAGATTCAACCACAACAAGTATTGTTAAAGCTGCGGATAGGTAAGGATGTTGGTGATATCTTAACTCTTAAATTTATATTATTCATGAAAGGAGCTGGAATCTTTAATAACCAGTTTTCATGATACTGTGATATAAAATATTTCTTAGACTTTACTGGAGTTTTCTGAACAGTTTTGGTTGGCTGAAGATTAATTTTGGAAAGTTCTAAATTACCGTATTTTTCCATGTATGATCCTTTTAGCTAAAATCTTTAGACTAAAAACTGAGAGTTGTCTTATACATGGAAGCAAGCTGAGGAGAAAACAAAGACAAGTGGAGGGGGAAAGGGATCAAAGCGCTGCAGGATCGTCTTGATCCCTGGTTTCCCCTCCACTTGCTAAGCTCCGCTTAGATTTCTTAATTTTGCATTAGAAAGGTGGGGGTGGTCTTATACATGGGGGTGTCCTATACACCGAAAAATATAGTACTTTTCTCATTTTAAAACAAGATGTGGTCTGAAACAGCTCAAATTAAATACATAATATGTCTCAAAAATGAATAAACAGGGTGGTTCAAACCATCTGGGGAAAGGGCAGTGGGAAGCAGGATGAGATGGAGGCTACGGCAATGGAAAATGGCAATGTTTCTCTACTGGAAAACACAAAATTTTATGTAGAAATTTGGCCATTCAAATGCTGCCGTATAACTACCATCAGGCCTTGGTACCATGGCTTATAATAAGAGATGATGGGAACTCAGCAGTCTAATTGTATCTGGAGGAGTACATGTTCCCACTCTGGCAGCATTCCAGCATCTATATTAGCCCTTTCTCACCTTCACATATCAGTTCAGAGTATATTTCACGGAGTACAGTGGTGCCTCGCTTAACGATTTTAATTGGTGCCAAAAAAAA